GAGCGCAGAGCAGTCTTTGTGGAGACCCACCTGCACGGGGTGTGCGCAGGACTCAGGGCCAGGGCCACGCCCCCACCGCCCCCACCCCCCCCACCGCCCCCACCCCCCCACCGCCCCCACCTGGGATGTCACAACAGGCGCCAGCTGCCACTGGTGTCTTCGACTGTGGGCGTCACCAACTCCCTAAACTTTAGGTCCTCAACCTGTGGGTCGCGAGCAATGAAAATACATCCTGCATATCAGATATTTACATGACGATTCATAACAGTAGCAACATGACAGTGATGAAGCAGCCACGAAAATAATGTTATGGCTGGGGGTCACCACAACATGAGGAGCTGCATTAAAGGGCCGCGGCGTCAGGAAGGTTGAGAGCCGCTGCAACACAGACAAGCCCTTTCCCCATTTTGAAATGTAACCATTAAATCGGTGGACACGTGTGAAATCTCAGCGTGGCGAGAGCGACCATAGGCCTCACCCCAAAGCCAGAAACCGTGGAAGAAAAGCTGACAGATGTGGCTCCATAACCAATGTAAAACTTGCACGTCGCAAAGAAAACAAGCAAAAAGCTAAACCCTACCCTAGCCGGTGTGGCCCAGTGGATAGAGTCCCGGGTTTGATTCCAGGCAAGGGCACGTGCCTGGGTGGCGGGCTCCATCCCCAGCAGGGGGCGTGCAGGAGGCGGCTGATCCACGATGCTCTCTCATCATGAATGTTTCAATCTCTCTCCCGCTCCCTTCCTCTCTGACACCCACTAAAAAAGTAAAAAGCAAAGAAGACAAGGCTAATGTTCTAAAAAATAAACAAAAAGCTAAACCCCAGTGGAAAGAAGAAATAAACGGTTAGCGCGCCAGCACATGGTGGAGGCGGACTAAGACCCCGACAGAGGAAGCTCCGGGAGAAGGAAAAGTCACACGGAAGAAAAAGGAAGAAAAGGAAAAACACTACGAACACGGACGGGCAAGTTTCCAAACGGCCGACGACGAGAGGAAAAGGGTACGGCTCACAGCAGCCAGAGAAATTAAAAGCCGAGTGAGGAGCCCTGACCGGCCTGGCTCCGTGGTGAGGGCGTCGGCCCAGGCACCCGAGGGTCGCAGGTCAAGGGCACGCACCTGGGTTGCAGGTTCAATCCCCGCACGTGCGGGAGGCAACCAACCGATGTGTCTCTCAGGTAGATGTTCCTCTCTCTCCCCCTCCCTCCCTCCCCTCCATTCTCTCTAAAAATCGCTGGGAAAAGATCTCCTCGGGCGAGAATGAACAAAAAATAAATTAAAAAGCGTGTGAGGAAAAGGCTGTCTTGCCCGGGAGGCTGCCGGAGAGGGAAGGGCCGGCCAGTTCAGGACACTCACCCTCCGTGGCCGGCGGGCCTGGGCGGCACTTTGGCAAAATGCATCGTAGCCTTTGGCCCCGGGTGTCTTTCCTAAGCACCTACCCTGAGGGCATACTCAGGCGACCTGTTATCGAAGGCCCCCTGCACCACTTAGCCTCCAGGGAAGCCCACCGGAAATATTATAGCCTGTACTTCCGGACTGTTAGCAATCCATTAGGCACCTTCCCCAAACCCTGGGCGATGACTGTGACTCCTTTTTGGGGGGAGGGGTATCTTTTTGTCTTTATCTTTGGGGGTTTTGTTGTTTACTTTTTTCCCTCCTTATTTTTTTAGTTGATGTTTACAGAGCGGAAGGGAGAGGGGAAAAGAGAAGCTCCAATGAGCAGAACATCCGTCGGCTGCCTCCACACGCCCCCTCCTGGGGATCAAGCCCGAAACCTAAGCATAGGCCCGACCGGGAATCGAACCGGCGACCTTCTGGTGCACAGGACGAAGCCCAGACCACTGAGCCACGCCAGCCAGGCAAGAACATGGCTCTGATAATGAGAAAGCATTGTTTATGAACACAGCTCACTGGCGCATTCAAACCGTGTTTCCTGGGTTTCTTGACACTTGGCCGCCACAGTTCCCGGACGGCTGGAGACTAGAAATACCCCTTCCCCGGCCGGGAAAAGCCGCTGGTTTTTATTTTCCCAAATGCTGTCGTTTTCAACATGGGGAACGGATGCCCGTTTACCCCCAAATCCCCCGTGTCGGCCGCAGAGGCGGCCGCAGAGGCAGCCGCAGGACGGACAGACGGACGGACAGGTGACGCGGTTATTGTGCTCTTGTCCTGCCCCGTGCACAGTGGGGCTCATCCCCACGGCCCTGGCACCCTGCGCAGCACCCTGGACGCCGCAGGCCGTGGGCGAAGATCTCTGATTGTTTGAGAAATAAAACTGGGAAAGCGTCCAAGCCTCCGTTCAGTGACAGAACCCGAGGGTCCCTCCCCGTCCCCAACAGGCCAGGTGTGGGGACAGGAGGCGTGGGGTGTGGCACCAGGCCCCCCACTCCCTCCTCCAGCACCCACAAACGCTCAGGGGCCCTGTGGCCAGTCCCTCCCTCCCTCCCTCCCTCCCTCCCTTCCTTCCTTCCTCTTTATTGATTTCAGAGAGGAAGGGAGAGAGAAACTCCAATGATGAGAGAGAATCTTTGATGGGCCGCCTCCTGCACACCCCAAGGGGGATGGAGCCCGCAACCCGGGCCTGTGACCTGATCCATAGGTCGCAGCTCAACCACTGAGCCACACCGGCTGGGCCCAGGGCCAGTTCTTGAGTGACCGCGGGCAGCTTCTGTGAAACACTGGCTGGAACCTGCCGGCCTCGCTTCCTGGGCCATGACCCGGAGGAAGGCCGGGGCGGCCGGATGGAGGGAGAGCCGGCCCTGCGGCGCGCAGCCGGGGGCACCGGGGGCCGGCAGAGGGATGGCGCTTCCAGGGGGGAGCCAGGCTCAGCCTGCTCCTAGCCGGGAGCTCCCGCAGGAGGGAGGGGGTGCAGGCTCGGGCGCGCACACGGGGACCCCGGACTTGCCCGAGCTCCTCGGGACGCGGCAGCTCAATCCCAGCCACGACCCCCGAGCCCAGCAGCGCCGGGGCCGCCCGCGCCCCACCTCCAGCGCGCACGCCCACCTCGGGGCGCAGAGGGCGGGCCTTCCCCGACTCCCGGCACCGAGGGGTCGAGGGCAGGGCGCTCCCCCCCCACCCCCCGGGCCCGCCTCCGCAGGGGTGCGGGGGTCCGACGTCACACCCGCCACCAGGTCACCCGCGGCGCCAGGACCCGCCGGGGCCCCGTCCGGGGCGGGAGGGGGGCGCCCCGGCTCCGAGCGGCCGGCAGGTGGGCGCGCGCTCGCCGGGCGGGGGTCCGGCCGGGCCGCGCGCCTCCCCCGGAACTGGCCGTGCCATTCCCATGATGCCCAGCCAGCGGGCACGGCTTCCGGAGCGCGCCGCCGCGCCGCCGCCGCCGGTAGGTCCGGGGAGGGGGCACCGGGGGTCGCCCCGCCCCGCGCGCCCCGCCCTCCGCGCGGCCCCGGACGCCGGGCGGGGGGGCGGGGAGCGGCGCCGGCAGCGGGCGGCCCACCCCCTCCGCGCGGCCGAGGGGCGGGGCGCCGGGACCCCGCGGCCCCGCGCGCCCCCCGCGCGCCGCTCCTCCCCCGGGACGCGGGCCGGACCGGCCGGCGCTGGGTGGGGGGCGGCGAGGGGCCGGGCGGCGGGCGGCGGGGGGCGCGCGGGGGGAAGGAGGGCGGCGGACAGGCCGCAGTCGGCGGCGCCGGGCCGGGGAGGGCGCGCGGGGCGGAGGCGCGATCGCCGGGCGCCGGGGCTGGTACCGCCCGGGCGGGTGTCGCGGCGCCCGAGGCAGCCCCTGGCCCCGCCTCCGCGTCGCGGGCCCTGCGCGTCCCGCGGTCCTGGGAGCTGGCGGGGCGCGGGGCGCACCTGGAGAGGCGCAGGTGAGGGCCCGCGGGCCGCTGCCGGCCGGCCCGGCGCCCCCCCTCGGAGCGCGGCCGAGGACCCCCCCCAACCCCCCACCCTGACCCCGCGGATGGACAGTGGCGTCTGGCGCAGCTTCCGGGAGGTCACTGGCGCCCCGCCGGCCCCTGGACCCCAGAAGCAACCCGGTGCAGACTGCGTGGGGCTGCCCTCCCTGCGGGGGTCTCACCCTGACGTGGCTGAGGGCCTGGTTGCGACCTCAGCAGAGGGGGTGCGGGCGAAAGCGCCCCCAGGAAGGGAACCCCGTGCTCAGGGTCAGAGGGCAGGGCTGGGTCAGCTGGGAGGGCCTCACCTGCCTCGGGCCCCAGGCACCAGCGTGGCCCTGCAGCTGTGCTTGGGGAGACTGAGCTGCAGGATTGTGAGGTCTGACCTCCTGTCTGGCCCACGGGCCCACCTCCCACCTACCATGGGCCTTCCGGGCCCTCCCCTCCGTAAGCCCGGGGGACGCCCCCCTGGCAGGCACCAGGGGCTGGACCACTGTGGGTGATGTGTGGGGGGCATTAGGTGATGTGTGGGGGCATTAGGTGATGTGGGGGGGGCATTAGGTGATGTGTGGGGGCATTAGGTGATGTGAGGGGGCATTAGGTGATGTGGGGGGGCATTAGGTGATGTGTGGGGGGCATTAGGTGGTGAGTGGGGGGCATTAGGTGATGTATGGGGGCATTAGGTGATGTATGGGGGGCATTAGGTGATGTGTGGGGGCATTAGGTGATGTGTGGGGGGCATTAGGTGTAGTGGGGGGGCATTAGGTGATGTATGGGGCATTAGGTGATGTATGGGGGGCATTAGGTGATGTGTGGGGGGGCATTAGGTGATGTGTGGGGGCATTAGGTGATGTGTGGGGGGCATTAGGTGATGTATGGGGCATTAGGTGGTGTATGGGGGCATTAGGTGATATGTGGGGGCATTAGGTGATGGGTGGGGCATTAGGTGATGTGTGGGGGCATAGGTGATGTGTGGGGGGCATTAGGTGATGTGTGTGGGGGCATTAGGTGATGTGTGTGGAGGAATTAGGTGATGTGTGTGGGGGCATTAGGTGATGTGTGGGGGGCATTAGGGTGTGGGGGCATTAGGTGATGTGTGGGGGGCATTAGGTGATGTATGGGGGCATTAGGTGATGTGTGGGGGCATTAGGTGATGTATGGGGGCATTAGGTGATGTGTGGGGGGCATTAGGTGATGTATGGGGGCATTAGGTACAGAGAGCCGGGCTGTGCAAGATCCGCGGCCGGTGTTCTCCGCCCGGAAGAGGGTGTCCAGGTTCCACCCCAAGAGGATGCCCAGGGCCCGCCACCACTTTTCAGTCTGGCAGCGCGGCTTTGGGGTCCGGCTGGTGTCCTCCCAGCAGGCTCTGACCTGGCCTTGCCTCTCGGGGGCAGGGGCAGTGTGATCGAGGGAGTTCTCCTGAGGGGTTCCCCTCGGGCAGTTGCTTTAAAGCACAGGCTGTTGCTGAGGACAGGCGCCCCTGAGTGTTTATTTGCGAGGAGGCCAGGCTCTACAGCCAGCCGCGCGCCGTCCGCTCGGTAAACACCGGCCGCCGGTTCTCTCCGGCTTTGCCTGCTGGTGTGGAAACCACTGCGGCCTGTCCCCCCCAACCCACCCCTGGGACGGGGCCGTTTTTACGGGAGTGTTTAAGGGTTAGCCTTCTCCCCCAGGCTCTCCACACCCAGGCCCCTCCGTCGCTGGGCCCACTGCTCTGCGGCTGGGACGTGAGGGCAGGGACATGGGCGGCAGGGACGGGGGCTGGGCCACCTGCCTCCACCAGCGTCCCAGTGTCCGGCTGTGGCCGGGGGGTGGTAAACTAGTTGTGATGAACTCTATTTGGCCTCAGGGCAAATCTTCCAACATTTAATTTTGGGCCCTTAAATTGATGCTGTTTCTTTCCATAAAGATATACATATATGGTCGCCTGTGAATTCAGTGTCTCTGCCTCTCTCTATCCTGGCAGCACAAAGTCTCTCTCACACTCGGGAAAGGACCCCACGCAGGCAGGTGGGGCGATGGAGACCTCAGGCCCACGACTCACCAACGTTGGCCACTTTGTCCAAACGCGACCTGCACTGGAAGAGAGTTTCAAGTAAGTGCAAGAAATTCCTTGACACTGTAGTTCCTGGTCTGTGTGTGTGTGTGTGTGTGTGTAATATATATTTTTTATTTCAGAGAGGAAGGGAGAGGGAGAGAGAGAGAGAAACAACAATGATGAGAGAGAATCATGGATCGGCTGCCCCCTGCACGCCCCACACTGGGGATCGAGCCCGCAACCCAGGCCTGTGCCCTGACCAGGAATCGAACTCTGACCTCCTGGTTCATATGTCGAGGCTTAACCACTGAGCCATGGCAGCTGGGCTACATATATAAAAGGCTAAAATGCTAAGAGTCCGACCGTCCGACCGGTCACTATGACGCGCACTGACCACCAGTGGGCAGACACTGACCGCAGGAGCTGCTGTGACGCGCACTGGCCACTTACAGAGAAACGGCACCGCGGACCTGGCACCCACAAAGCAACACTCAGCTTCCCCCAAGTGGGACACAGGCTCCGCCATCACCCCAGAGCGACAGCCCACCAATCGCAGCTGACGCTGCCGAGACCCCACGGCGCAAAATGCGGCCCACAGCCCAGCCTTAAACGGTCATTTTGGGCACTGGGTAATGACGTCACATAGCAACGCCCGGCTTCCTCTCCCTAGCGACTAGCCTCCTTGCAGTTTCTTCAGCCCAGGAACAGGACTTGCTTTATAGCCACGTGCAAGCATTTTACACTGTAACCAAATGTCTGTGAAGGCTTTTCCCATGCCTCATCTCACGTAATCCTCACAAAAGTCCTGGAGTAGGTAGATAAGAGACTTGGTGGAATCCTATTTTCTCTTCATTAGCCAGAAAACAGAGATTTAGGAAGCTTGGAAACTTGACCCGACTGAAAAAAAGAAATGGTGGACCTTGAAAATGACTTCAGGTTTTCTCACTGCGCAGAATATAGTCAGACACGGCTGCAGTTCAGTATTTCACCCTTTGTTCTCCCTGCGTGATCTACAATAATAATCTGCTTCGTGTTGATATTTACTGCTGTGTTGCTGACAATTACCTGAAAGAGAAGTTGGGGTGCTTCCCTGGGCTGGAAAAAGTTTCGCTACATCAGAAAGCAGGTCTGATTAAGCAGGTTTATTCTATGTCTATAAAAGGCTAAGTTGACTCGCACATGTGCAAAAACATATAAAGCTCTCGCTGGCGCCAATCACACCCGTGTGTTTCGGTCTGTTGTCGTCCACCATGAATTTGGTTGACACTTCTATTATAGAGAAAGGGCAAACAGCGATATTAAGATATTTCTTCTAATTAATTTCCTTTCAATGTGCTCGAATTCGTGCACCGGGCCACCAGTTTTTAAATAAAAAGTGACTCTTTAAAGACGTTTGGGGAGGCGATTGCTGAACGGTTCACCTCTCGTAATGTTCTCTCTCAGGGGCTCGCTGCTCCCGTCAAGAATGAACCGACCCCCGGGGTCCCTCCCGCTCACCCCCTAGGGTCCGAGTCCTCCTGCCCTTGAACCTGCAGAGAAGGGTGTGCGGCCTTCATCGCCTGGACCCCTGGGCAGCCTCCTAAGGTACAAGCAGCCTGTTCCTCTCAGAGAAGGTGGAGGTGCCGAGTGGGTGCAGGAACGGGGAAAGGGCAGACACGTGGGCGCTCCCGTGGGTGCTTTCGGGTGGGCAGCTGGCGAAGACGCGTCTTCCTCCTGGGCCCTACCTGCGCAGCCCAGGACGCTGAGGCCACGCGGCCACCGGCGCCACCCCTCCCGCAGCGCGTCTCACCGTGTGCGCTCTCCCCGCAGGATGTGAAGCGAGCGGCAGGCAGCCTGGCCCCTGCGTGCCTCCCGGTCGGTCGCTAGGATGTTCCTCATGAACGCGCCCCCTGTGCTCCCTCTCCAGTCCACGTGGGAGGCCTGCAGGCCGCCGGGGAGCTGCAGATTCCCAGGCCGCCTCTCGGAGCCGGAGGGCGCGGCCGGCGCAGCGGTGAGCGCCCGGGTGCAGATGCTCATCAGCTCGCTTCGGGGTGACCGGACAGCGCGGGGCCGGAGCCAGGAGCGCGCCCTGCACCGGGGCCACCGGGGCCGCCACGCCCAGCCGGCCGCCGCCCCCGCCTGCGGTCTCGCTGCTCATTTTGACCCCAAGAGGAAGGAGGAGGCCTCGGACCCCGGCCCCTCGGGGCGGGACTCAGACAGTGACGACTCCGTGGACCGGGGCATCGAGGAGGCCATCCAGGAGTACCTGAAGGCCAAGAGCGGGGCCGCCCAGCCCGCGGCCGCCAACCAGGACCCTCAGTGCACACCGGAGCCTCCTCCGAACAGCACCCCGACTACCCTGTGTCCCCCAAAGCGGGCCCCTGGCTCAGGAGGCATCCCTGGTGGCCGCATGGGAGCCAGTGGCCATGTGGGAGCCGGTGGCTGTGTGGGAGCCGGTGGCCGCGTGGGAGCCGGTGGCCGCGTGGGAGCCGGTGGCCGCGTGGGGGCTGGCCAGGCCCCGGGCTCCGCCTCCCCGGGCAGCGTCAGCAGCGAGGACTCCTTCGAGCAGAGCATCCGGGCGGAAATCGAGCAGTTCCTGAGCGAGAAGAGACAGCACGAGACGCCGCCGGGTGACAGGCCTGCGGACAAAAAGCCCGACGCTGGCGACAGCCTGGCCGCACCCGCCCTCGGGTCCAGCAGAGAGCCGGTGGGCAAGGCGCCGCGGCAGGACGCGGCGGGAGCGTGTAAGGAGTTTGTTTTCCAGAATCCTTCCCGGTTGGCCCCGGCCGCCGCGCAACCCAGGAGCCTCAGGTCCAAGGTCGCCGCCGAGCCGGAGAGCGTGGGCGGCCCGAAGCCCGCACCCCCCAGGCCGGCCGCCCCCTGCCACACGGCGGACGCCCAGGGTAAGGGCCGGCTCAGGAGGAGCCTGGGCCCCGGGCGGAGGGGACAGGGCGTCAGGAGCGCGGGCCCGGCCCCCGTGCGCGCGGCGGCCGACTCCAGCAGCGACGACGACGGCATCGAGGAGGCCATCCGGCGGTACCAGCGGGAGAAGAGGAAGGAGGCGAGCGGGGACCTGCCCCCGAAAGCCCCGGCCGGGGAGCAGCAGCCCGGCCCGCCCGCCCACGGCGCCAGCCACGCCACCAAAAGTGCCTTGCCCTTCACCCCCAGGAAAACGCCAGGCAAGAGGAAGCCAGCGGCCTCGAAGGCTGTGGACCTGGGCCCGGGCGGGCTTGACCCCGACCGTCCGTCCGAGCCACCAAAGGAACCCCAAGCCCCCGCCGCCCCGGGGAGCACAGCGGCCAGGAGCCGGTGTGCGGACGGGGCCTCGTGCCGCGCGGACACCTCCGCCGAGCTGATGTGCGCCGAGGCGATCCTGGACATCTCCAAAGCCATCCTGCCGGCCCCCGGGGAGGGCGGGGACGGACCCCCGGCCGCCAGCCCGCTCCCTTGTCCCTCCCGCGTGCCTTCCTGCTCGGACGGCGACAGCAGCTCTGTGGACAGTGACGACAGCATAGAGCAGGAGATCCGGAACTTTTTGGCGCTGAAGGCCCAGGCGGGGACTTTGCCGGCCAGAGCGGACACCTGCCCGCCGTCCGCACGGAGCCCCCCGCCGCCACCGGGCCCCCGCGGGCAGGCTGGCGCCCCCAAGGCCCCCGTCTCTCGAACACCGGAGCCTCCGCTGAGCTGCAGGAGGAAACGCAGGGGCGGCGCCATGCGGCCGTCCACGCCCAGGAAAGCGAGAGAGGCGGTGAGGGAGGGCGCCCCGGGCCCTGGCCCCGGCGAGGCCCCTGGCAGGGACGGCGAGGCCAGGGGGCAGCGCCCCCCCTGCAGGACGGCCGGGCTGGGGGGCGAGCACGGAGCCACGGACGCGAGGGGCGGGGTGTCGCCGGGCCCCGGGAAGGTGGCCGAGGCCCGCAGTGTGGACGGGAAGGAGAGCTCCGAGGACAAGAGCAGCTCGCTGGACAGCGACGAGGACCTGGACTCGGCCATCAAAGACCTGCTGCGGTCCAAGCAGCGGCTCCGGAGGCGCGGCAGGGACCCCCGAGCCGGGGGCCGGAAGAAGGTCCGGTTCGGCAGCACTGAGGCGCGGGCCCTGGGTCCGCGGGGCGGCCCCCAGAGAGGCGGCCAGGACAGAAGCCCGCCCGTGCTGAAGAGCTGCCTCTCCAGGTCCAAAAGGGACAGCGGGGCGGGCCCGCCGGGGAGACCGTCGCGCGGCTTCTGCAGCCCCACGGAGGGCGCCAGGCCCGCAGACCCACCCCAGGCCCTCCCGTCGGCGCAGAGTCCTTTCCCCGGCGAGGCCAAAGCCCGCCCCCACCACGGCCCGGCCGCCAGCCCCGGCCTCCGGTCTGATGACAGCAGCTCCGTGGACAGTGACGACAGCATCGAGCTGGAGATCCGGAAGTTTCTGGCCGAAAAGGCCAAGGAGACGGAGAGCGGCTCGGAAACTCCAGGAGCGGGTCCGGGGAGCGGGCCCAGGCCAGAGCCGCTGTGCCGGAAGGGGGCGGCCCCGGCCCTGGCCCTTCAGCCGGGCGTGTGCACCCGGAGCCATAGGGGCAGGGGAGCCCCTCAGCCCACATCGGGGCCCCGGGGCGGGCCCCGCACGGACCCCGCCTGCCTCCCTGCTGCTCCGCCCAGAAGCCAGCCGGCGCCTCCCCGGAGCAGCAGTGGGGCCCTCTCGGCCAGGGGGTCCCCCGCGGGCAAGAGAAGCCTTCACCCTCCCAGAGACCAGGGCCCGCGAGGGGCGTCCGCGACAGCAGAGGCAGATACCCGGGCGCGAAGTCCCGGCGGGGCCTTGCCCGTGGCCTCTCAGAGCCGGAGCGCACCGACCCGGAGCCCGGGAGCCGACAGGGAGGGGGCGCCCCAGGCCAGCCTCACCCTCCCATGGGGCGACTTTGCCCACCAGACTGCACTGCAGAGCACGTGGGCGCTGAGCTCAGAAGGCAGGGGCGTGGCGTGGAAGGGGGGCCGGGGGAGTGAGAAGGAGAGGGGGCCGGAGGGCCAGGCCCGGGGCCCCGCCGGCCCCGCCACGGACCCCAGGAAGGGCCTGCCCTTCGCGGGCTTCTCCCCGCTGCTCCCCGCGCAGCTGTTCCACTTCGGGAGCAGCGCGTCCTGGGGGGCCCCGGCCGCCGGGCTCTTCAGCCCCGGGCTGAGCCTGCCGCTGCAGGGCCCCGCCTTCTCGGCCTTCAGGGAGGCCCCCGCCGGCCACGCGGGCCGGTTCGGACGCTCACGCCTGCTGGGCAAGGAGGCCCGGCCCTGGCCCCGGAGGAGGGCGCTCGGCTCGCGCGGCGGCAGCGGCGGCGGCGGCAGGAACTCGGGCTCCGACGAGGACGTGTTAGACCTGCGGTATGGGCGGCGGGCGGACAGAGACGAGGACCAGGCGGCCTGGGGCAGCGACGCCAGCGAGCTGAGCGACACCTCCGTGGAGGACGGCAGCCCCGCGGCCAAGGGCACGGTCCTCCAGCTGTGAGCGGGCGTCCTGGCGCCAGCGTGTCTGGGCCGCGCGTGGACGTGCGTTAGAGGGACCCTGGGTAGGGGGACGGGCCGCTGCGGCCGCCCTGTACATATGTACACTAACGGGCAGCGATGCCCTTATTTAACACGTGTGTCCTGGTAAATATGATTTTTGTAGCTTCTTTTGTAAATTATTTAAGTGCTGTAAAAACTATTTTTGGAAACGAGAGCTGTTGGGTTTTGTAGGGCGTTCCCGGCGGCGGTCCCGTGGCTTCCCCGGCTCGCCCTCGGTCCGCCCGCCACGGCCAGTGCCCATGACTCCGAGCTGGCACTCAGGTGACTGCTGTGGAAATGTCCGCTGTGCCTGGGGGGCAGCGATCGCACCCCCCGGAGCACCCTCTGAGCCCTGAGGTCTCCGTCCGGAGGTTCCTGGACATCGCCCGTTAGCGGGAACCCTGGGCCGGGAGGCTGACACGTCCCCTGAGCACCGCGGCCACAGCCTCCGACCAACACCCGCAAAGCACAGACGCCAGCGAGGACCCCGCCGCCCGGGGCCTGTGTTGTCTCCCGTCCAGTGCTGTTCCGTGGCCACAGGCAGCAGCTCAATAAACCGCTCTGTGCACGGAGCCTCTGCCCTCATTCTCAGTCTGGGCCCATGCGTTTCTGTGTCCATGTCCAGAGCATGATGAGGTCTCAAGTGCCCGGCTGGCACGGCCCATGGGCATCGAATCATGAACCAGGAGGTCAGGGTTCTATTCCCGTCAGGGCACGGGCCCAGGCTTTGGGCTCCATCCCCAGTGGGGAACGTGCAGAAGGAGGCAGCCAATCCATGATTCTCATCATTGATGTTTCTCTCTCTCTCTCTCCCTCTCACTTCTCTCTGAAGTCAAATTTCTTAAAGACACATTTTTTAAAAACAACAAAGGTATTGTCACCTTGACCTCCCGCCTCCCAGAGTTCATTGAAGGGGCCGTTAGAGGGTGAAGCAGGACAAATCCCACCCTCCCGGCCTGCACCCCACAGGCAGGCTGCCGGGAGGGGCTGGCGGGCGAGGTCTGCAGACCCTCGAGGTGCTGGCCACTCTGGTGCTGTTTTCACGTTGACATGTGTCACAATATATTCAAAACCTCTTATCCTGATCGACTATAACAGACAAAAGGCCACTGAAGACAAATGCAGAAGCAGAGATGGAAATAAGCTTTCAGAGGAAGAAGTTACTGGTTTTAAGCAAACTCAGCAGCTAAATGAAGTGACTGGCAAAGTGCCACGGGGTTTGCTCTCGGAGGGGAGATGAAGGAGCTGGTGGGCGGAGCGCGGTTTCCAGGAGCCGTGGGGACCCCATCCAGCGCCCTGTGGGGCGGCTGCTGTCACCCCATGTTCCGGTCACCCCCCATGTTCCGATCGCCTTGTCTGTAGTAGTTCTGGTTGGGAATGAACTCAGTACACGGTCCGAAGGGAAGTTTCGTTTCTCCTCGGCCGGCCGCGCTGTGCGATCACCCACACGGGCGAGATCTGGGAGCATCCAGCTCGCCCTGTGGGTTCACTCTTTCCCCTCAGGACACAGATTCCCGTGTGAAAGAGGCTAAAGAGATAAAAGAAGGTTCCGGGACCTTTCGTGGCTGGAGCCCCTCTGACTTGTGTGAATTTGCAGGAAGTTAGGGCCAGGAGGTGGAGCAGATGCTGGGGCCTCGCCCCTCCCAGCACACCCGCAAGGCGGACCCTAACCTTCCCATCGGAAACGGGAAACGGGGGCAGGAGTAAGACTTGCCCCAGGTGAGGGACTCAGAGGAGGGACAGCGGCAAAGCCCTTTGCAAACCGCAGGCGGCAGGTGGACGGGGAGGAACAGGCCGGTGGCGCCAGAACGCGGACGCGGAGCCAGAGCTGCAGACAGCAACCGGGTGGGGAGACGCGTGTGCACAAAGGTGTTTGTTTCCCTCCTTCAGACACCCCTTCCGCTTAGAATAGACACAGTCCAGCGCAGTGATGGCGAACCTGTGACACGCGCGTCAGAGGTGGCACGCGAACTCATTTTTTTGGTTGATCTTTCTTTGTTAAATGGCATTTAAATATATAAAATAAACATCAAAAATAGAAGTCTTTGTTTCACTATGGTTGCAAATATAAAAAAGTTTCTATATGTGACACGGCACCAGAGTGAAGTTAGGGTTTTCAAAATGCTGACACGCCGAGCTCAGAAGGTTCGCCGTCACTGGCCTAGCGCCGCCTCATCGGTGGCGGCTGTTAGAAATGGCAGTCGTTGGCCACGATCAACGACGGCCCTTCGGTGCCCACCGCGCCAGCACTCGGTGATGCCGTCGGAGCGCTTAGCACCCATTTTCATTTTTTTTTTAGGAAAATAAATATGGCTCACTTACTTTGTTGTTCATCCTCAGCTGAGGATATTTTTCCCATTGCTTTTCAGAGTGGGAGGGAGGGAGGGAGCCAGAAAAACACCTTGGTATGAGAGACACATTGATTGGCTGCCTCCCGCACTCGCCCTGACCAGGCGCAGGGAGCGAACAAGCAACCCAGGTGTGTGCCCTTGACCAGGAATCAAACCTGAGACCGTGGGGCTGGGGGCTGCCGCTCTCACCACTGAGAGCACCAGCCGGGGCTAAATACAGCTCACCTTTCATGACCTTTAACTCACCGGTCTTTTCCTTTAAGAGACCTTTGCACCCAGGCGGGTTGTGACTCAGTTGGTTGAGCGCCAATCCGGGCGCCAAGAGGTCACCGGTTCGATTCCCCGTCAGGGCACATGCCCAGGTGGTGGGCTCCACCCCCAGCAGGAGGCGTGCAGGATCCATGTTTCTCTCTCCCTCTCTCTCCCTTCCTCTCGCTCTAAAAAAATTAAAAACCTGTTTTTAAAGGAAAGAGAGACTTCTGCCTGCCCGAGGTGCGCAGGCACTGCCCACGCTCACCCCTCGAAGCCTGTTGTGTGGGGGCCGCCTGCATCTCCGTCAGCGGGCGAGCCCAGCGGAGCCTGGAGCCGCGGAGAATGGGGATCCTGTCCGGGGCCAGGGGTCTCCCCTGGCGCCTGGCTCGGGCAGCCGCCTCGTCACGGGGGTCCCGGCCTCGCCGCGTCTCAGGCAGGAGAAGCTGTTTGTGCTGGTTTTAACCGCCCCCCCAGGCTGCCCCCCTCCAGTCAGTGGCCAGGGGAGGACTCCCCTTCTGCTGTTCAGAACCTGGGGTGGCATCAGGCACCCTTTTCCTTCATTTATTTCATCAGAGGACCAAACCCGGAGGCGTCCGTACTTTGGTGTTTGCATGAGGGGAGGTCAGAACTGAGCTCGCGGGCGCCGCGGCCGCGCTGGCTTCCTGCTCTGGGTGCGGGTCCTGGCTCAGGTCGCTTCGTGTCTTTTACTTTTCTTTGTTAATCCTCGCCCGAAGATATTTCTATTTTTCCCATTGATTTTGAGAGAGTGGGAGGGGGGGGACGGGGGAGATCAAGGTGAGAGACACATCGATGGGCCGCCTCCCACCTGGGACCCCCGGCTCGAACCTGCAGCCCAGGTACGTGCCCTCGAACTTGATCGGAATCGAGCCCGTGATCCTCGCTGCGTGGCCGACGCTCCGACCACTGGGCCGGGCGGGCGGGCTCAGGCTTGTATCTTTTTATTAAATGTACTGGTTTTCTCTGGAAACCACTGTCATTCCAGATTGGACACAAGGGTGTTGCCAAGATGTTTACTTCGGGTGCTACTAACCAACGGTTTTAATGAAGAAATAAACGGGGGTCTAATTCCTTCCCAAATTCAGTTGTAAAATCTCTTCGGGTGAAAGTCCCATGAAGAAGGCGCTGTGGTGGTCTGTGGCCGTGGCTGCTACTGTCTGGTTTCCAAGGTAACGAGCGCCTCTCCTGAAGGGGGGGGGGTCCTCCTGGAGGCAGGGGTCCCTGTGGCTGCCGGAGAGGCTGGGTTCTCCCTGAGGACCCTCTAGCTCCGGCCCCGGGCTGAGGACGGGCCACGCAGGTAAAAAGCCCCCACCGCGGCCACGGCCGCGGCCCCTCCTGAGGAAGCTTACTCCCTGCCTGCTTCATTTTTGGGTTTTTTTCCCACTTTTCATTGGAAAGTTTAAATGAACACAAAGGCAAGAACTGCCCGTGGGCACCTGCCCTCCACCAGCCAGGAGCGCACTCCTGCGGGTCTCGTCTACTGTGCCGCCCGCCCGGCTTCCTCGCGGCCGGAGGCTGTTGGCTGGGACCCCGAGTCTGTCCTCTGAGGCTCAGGGACCGACACGCCCTCCTGCCTGGCTGCCTGGCACCTTCCGGGGGCTCCGCAGCGCCTCCTGGCCCAGCGCCCGGGCAGGGCGACCCTCCCCGCACAGCCGAGCAGCAGGAGCAGGAACAAGGCTGCGCAACAGACACAGGGACGCGCTCAGGGCGACGCGTGGGCCGACCTGCTCCTCGATCCCAGGTGAGTCGGGGACTCAGGATGTGGCAACATTTTAATGCAAAGGCAAGGCAGCGGCCCCTCTCTACCTCCAATGTCGGACGGGAAAGGGCCTCACGGAGGAAAGACGTTTTGAGGGACAGCAGTGAGCTCGGGACCGTCCCATCCCACAGCTACGGGGGGAGGGAGAGGAGGGGGGGGTGCCCGGCCTCAGTCGTTGCAGATGGAGGGCCTGCGGATGTTGTAGCTGGGGTGGAAGTTCAGCCGGTTGTAGGAGGTGATGCAGTTGTCGGCGCCCGACACGGAGCTCTTCTCCACGTGGACGTTGAAAGAAGTGTTCCGGAACATTCCCGCGGCCGCCAGCCGTCTGGAGAAGCTATCTGAATATGCGTAGAACACTTTCTGGAAGGGCAAAGGGAACACAGAGGCGCACGGGGAGACTCTTACCCGTCCGTCATTCGGTATTTTGGGGAGAAAAAGAATTCGTAAGGAAACGTCTCTATTCTTGCAAAGCAGCGAGGCCAGTGCCACCGGAAGGCCTAGCTGCCCCCCAGGTGTGGCCACGAGCCCTGACTGGGGTCCCGCCTCAAGCCACCCCAGTTCCTGGTTTACAAACTGTGCCACCGGCCGGTTATCGGACGTTTCTTTGCCTCAGAACTGACGTGTGTGTGTGTGCATAAGTGTGCGCGTGTGTGCGTGCGCGCGTGTGCATGTGTGCGTGTATGTGTGTGCATGTATGTGTGCGTGCGTACGTGCATGTGTGTGTGTGTGTGTGTGTGTGTGTGAGAGAGTGAATGGGGCCGGTCCCTCGAGTACCGCGGGCAAGTGCACGTGCACTCTGCACCCTTGAACAATTTCACCGCCAGATCTCAGGGCGAGTCCTTCATTCCTACCCGCCCTGCTCCAGCGGGCTCCGCGGTCCCTCCCACTTTGCCGCCTGGAGCCCTGGGCCCTCCCAGCCCTCCCCCGAGGTGAGGCCCTTTGAGAAATCCAGGGTTCAGGTCTCTTCTAGAGACGCCCACCCTCCCCCGGGCTCGTGCCCGCTTACCGGCATCTCGTGCACGGTGGGCGCTCTGCTCCCGTAGGTCTGGTTACTGGTCCTGTACACCGAGGCGGGCTCCTTGGTCCTCCTGGCCCGTGACACACACCCTCTGTTTTCCGTGCATTCGTTATCACCCTGCCTGAGCCCCAGCCTGCACGGGTCTGACGGGTGGAGCCTTGTTGGAAGTGCCCCAGGTTGGAGGTGCAGCCCCGGATGGGGCTCCCGGGAGCGCAGTGCGGCCTCCTGGTCCCTCTGCCCCTGCCCTTCCCAGAGAAAAGCCGTAGAGAATTTCCCAGGGTCACGCGCTGGGCCTCGGAACCCATCGGCCGGGCACAGGTGGTCGTTTCCCGGTAGGCGGGTAGGCCCGGGGCTGTGTGTGGCTCAGCCTCCAGACCCCGCCACCCAGGGGGCCTCCACTCCCAGCCTCCCGAGAAGATGCCTGTAGTCCCTGGTGCCAACTCTACTAACAGAACAGGCTGGCCGTGGGCCCCACACTGTGAGGTCCCGGCACCCGCCATCTTCCACCCTCCCAGTCCTCTCTCCAGGAGCACATCCGGCTCTGGGATTGTGGGGGGCCTGGAGGCCGGAGGGCGGGATGAAGGCTGTGGAGTTTGCAGTGACTGCAAGGGCTCGCAGGCCACCCACTCCGCTGGACCGGGGCGGTTCCCACTTTCCAGGGCTCCTCTGTCTGGAGGGGAGGGGGCCTCCCCAGCCTCCGAGCTGGGCTTCCAGACTCCTGCTGGCATCCACCCCCCACTGCGGCTGGACCCACGGACGTGTGTCCAAAGCTCTGGGCAGCACTGGGCAGCTCATCTGGTGAAGAGCTGACCACGCTCTTGGCTGAGGTGCCAGGCCGGCTGGGGACCTGGGCTCCCGCACGCGGGACGGGACCGCCCGCTGGGGAAGGTGGCCTCCCTCTCTCCCTCCGGCGTGTGCCCGGTGGGCCCACCTGTGGCCCTCACCTGTAGCCCCGGAAGCACGCGGGGTGGTTGAACCGAGCCGGCAGGTCCTTGTCCACGCGGTAGTAGTCGCTGGTTTTCTCCAGCGGGGCCTGGGCCTCGGGCTCCGCGGGCTCCGCGCCCTCCACGGGCGCCGCGCACTCCACGGGCGCCCCGCACTCTCCGGGGTTCTCCTGGGACATCCCGCCGTCCGTCCGCGGGAGCTGCTCGGGGAAGAAGGAAAGGCAAGGCACGGCCTCCCCGCGGCCCGCGCCACCAGGGTCGCGCGGCGTCCCGTTGCTAAGCGACGGCTTGGTCGCCTGACTGGGTGGGACGGGTCCTTAAAGGCGCCGCGCCTCTGCGGGCCGGCGGGGCTGAAATGCGGGATCTAGAACCTTCGGGGCGAGCACGCAGGGCCCCCGCGGGCCGGGATAACAAACCCTCGCTTCCTGGGGTTGCAGTGCCGGGTTCCGGGGATGCGGGCCGGGCGGGCCTCGTCCCAAATGCCGGGAAAGCGGCCACCGCGGGGGTTCCCGCTCCGCCAGGCCCGCCGCCCGCAGGGGCCACGCTCCCCGCGCTCGGGGCGCGCCCGGACCCCGCGAGGTCGTGCCCCGCGGAGCCCAGAGCCTGCATTTCGGCTCCCGATTGCCTAACGTGACGGAGCCTTCCTAAGCCGAGCGGCATTGAAACCC